CAGCGCACAAGCATCTCGTCTGCTCTCTGTTTCAGGATGCAGATGAGAGTAGACTGCTCATCGATTCTTGATCGCAGCACTTCTGCTTCCGTCCTTTCTTCCTGGGAGAGACTACGGAGCTTTTCCAGTGCTTGGTGCACATCGTCCATATCCTTATAGGAAGGATTAAGAACTGGGGTTAAACCTGTGCTAATACAAGTCATTATATTTAACAACACAAGAAGTGATTTCTGCTTAAATGAAATTATCTAAGAACCCATTTTCAGAGATGCATGAAATGAATAATTGGCTGTAGATGGGTTTTTAAAGCCAGATACTGATATTTAGAGAAAAGGTTGTCCAATAGCTGATACAGTACATTTGCCAGTATAACACATTTAAAGGAATAGTTCACCCAAAAATGAACATTTGCTGAAAATGTACTCACCCTCAGGCCATCCAAGATATTCCATTAATAAATCATAGCACATGCAAAATTGCTGAATTTAAATTACATTAAAACATTTATTTGTTTATTACAATATTTACTCAAAAATATTTTTAAATCATTTAGAAAATGTTTGTGCACTGACAAAGCTGTTGGAAGAATGACTCAAAATGACAAAATATTTTGATTAATCAGCCTGGATGAAATCCTGGATGGATTTCTTGTACTGTGTCACATTGGCACTGTAAATTACATAACTGTTTTTTTTTTTAATTATTATTATTATAAGAGCCAGTGATACATTTACATTTATTCGTTTAGCAGATGCTTTATCCAAAACAACTTACAATTAAAAAATACAAGCGATTCAAAACAAGGAGGCAAAAAACACAGGAAGTGCTCGCAATACAAAGTTTCTGAATGATTTCTTTCCATGGATGTTTTTCCAGGTATAATCAGGCAAAAGGGAAAATGGGGCTTTGGCTCCACCTTTCTGCCACTCCAGCAGGAAATGGGACTGGACCATTTCAGTCAGGATGGAGGGTCACATTCACCTGTTGCTAGTTTTGAGGATGCATTTTATTATTAGTTTAGTTATGGATACAGCTGTATGATCATTTAAAAATGATGGGTATTATTCAGAGGTGTGTTTTGTTTAGGTTTCATCACTAAATGTTGTTTTTTAATACTCACCTCCCATGATTTTGGTCGACTCAGGTCTATATCCTGTTTGTATGAGCCTTATTTGGGATTTTTTTTTTTTTTTTTAATAATGTTATTTTTTTATTTAGTATTTGTTCATCAGGGTAGGGCCTCTATTTTATTTTAGAGGCATTACAATCATATATTTTTGCCAGTTTTCATTGGTTTACCCATTTCATCATGATTGTTATTCATTTATTTTTTGCTAAACATTTTATTTTTGATAGCTACACTTAAAAAAATAAAATAAAAGCCTTTCTTTTTTTTTCACACTGCTTGTGACCTGACTTCACCTAGTCTGCTCCATTACACAAGTAACCACAATAAACCTACACTTGGATGCACAAGTCAAGCAAGAGCCTAATATATACTGATGGCAGATTTTAAATAAAGGCTTATCTGAGTTTTCAGAACTAGGGTAATTGTTGGGGCAAGTTGTCACATGTTTGAAATATATAAAAATTATTAATATAATTTTGTTCAGTGTACTGTAATATTTCTTGACCAAAACAATGGCATTTTTGCAAGTTCCACTATGCATTTTTGCTTGCATTATGCTGTTTATGCCCATTGTGACAACTTACCCCATTCAGTGTGACGCCACTGAGGCATGCTATGAAAAAAAAGTCGATGCGTGTTATATATGATCTGTATTGTTTATTTTTATTTTCTTAAGCAGTATCGGTGGAAATGTTCAAGTTGTGTGTCAACGAAACGGAATTAGGGGAAGTAACATAAATTCATTGAAAATATTAAATAGGGTTAAAAAAAAATGTGACAACAAACCCCGATATGTTTACCCTACTTGGAGATTATTGGTTTTAAAGCTCACAAACTGCAAGTAGAGTATCGCGCCTTAGCTATTATAAAGCAAAACTATTAATTCAATTTTAAAATTAAATAAGTATAAAAAAACAGATTTTTTTATTTAATTTTTTTTTAGCAATGCGCGAGTATCGGTGGAAATGTTCAAGTTGTGTGTCAACGAAACGGAATTAGGGGAAGTAACATAAATTCATTGAAAATATTAAATAGGGTTAAAAAAAAATGTGACAACAAACCCCGATATGTTTACCCTACTTGGAGATTATTGGTTTTAAAGCTCACAAACTGCAAGTAGAGTATCGCGCCTGAGCTATTACAAAGCAAAACTATTAATTCAATTTTAAAATGAAATAAGTATAAAAAAAACGATTTTTATTTTTTAAATTTTTTTTAGCAATGCGCGACCAGTTGCTTTGCTATTGTTTGGGCGAATTATGTGTTTCAAACCACGATTTTATCACAAACACAAAATCAAAACAGTCGGTGGTTGATCGATTTTGTCAGGCAAACAGAGATCATGCGTGTCAGTCGCTGAAATGGGCGTAAACAGTTTTGTATGAACATCACACGCTCTCCAACGTACCTGTTTAGTGTCTTTGATCATCGTTTTGAGGTCTATTGGGATTTTCTGTGGAGATGTCATGTTGAATCTTTCAAGGCTGTGTTTTGCAGGGAAAAAAACAGGTTTCTTCACAAAGGCGTCTCTACCGCAATGAGCTGCAGTGATCCTACAGCTTGTGGCGATTCAAAGTTTCCCCGGTTGCCCCTAGCAACAGCGAATTTCGTCGCGATTATTTTGCGTGTTTTTCCCCTTCGATAGACTACATTTGAGAATGTAATTCAGCATTTTCAAAATCGACTAACATTTATAACACGCCCTGTTGTTCTAGATATGTATGTTTTGTGTTTTCCCCCTCAGGTTAAACAGATAGGGCTGAAAATGCAGGTGTAGTGCTCGAGTTCTACCACTAGATGTCGCCACGACTCCTCTTTGGTGTATGAAGATACTGGTTCGAAAGGTGCAGAATTGTTTTTTACACATTTGCATTAGGTTGATTAGAAGAGTAAAGAATAAAGAATTATTTTGATTAGCATTACGTTATAATCTACAGCTGTAGCTCTGTTGAAAAAAAATAAAATCAACAGACTGTTCTTATGGTTTGCTTTCGAGTTTTCACAGCGGGTAAACAACTAAGCCAGCCAAGATCTTCAAACCATCTTAGGCTGGTTTAAGATGTTTTATTCAGTGGGAGCTCTTTAATTATAAAGTGAGGATCACAGGACATAAAAGGCTCACTTTAACACACAAGTGGCCCAAAAGGATCACTTATTAGCTAAGCATGAGATCTTTAACTTGCCTTATAGAAATTCACTGACCTTAAGTAACGCATTTAAAACCGTGTTCTGCATTATTTGAGTCCGGGCTACTCAGCCTATTGAAAACTTGAACTTGTGCTCAATCTTGAGAATCCGAGACAGCTGTGGGTTCTTATCAATAATCATTTAAATTAACAAGTCTCTTTTTTTGCTAATTGCAAAAATATTGACTCGAGTGTCCAACCTTAGAAGTATCATGCTGTGGTTTCACAACAGACTCTACAAAAACCACAGTCAATTTGTTATTATTGAATTAGCCTGTTGTTACATATTAGAAGCACAAGTTTAAAAAGTTACAAATTAATTTGTTTAAAAAACGTGGTTGACCATGTTTTTTTTTTAATATCCATTGCCACTAGTGGCTGATGCCTGTTAAGATGCTAGCTGTGTTTTGGAACATAGTAGTTAAACCATAGTAACTGGTTTAAGCTGGTCATTAACTGTTGAAAGCTGGTCATTAGGTGGCTGATCACCACTGCCTTAAGCTGGTATGACAATGATGTCACAATATTTCTTAAAATTGACTAAAAAAATCTGCACTGTCTATTGACAAACCTGTCATTAGATTTTGAAAACGACTTTTGGCTGAATGGTCATTTCTATTAATTGTTCAATCAGACACAAGTTTAAATAGGAAGCTTAAATTTGCTGCCCTAAACGTGAAGTAAAATAACCAAAGGCTACACACTGCAATTACCGATCAAGAGTATCAAGTTGGTTACGCAGTACACGTAGCAAGGTGTATATATATATATATACACACACACACACACACACACACGTTGTGTTTCCATGTTTTATGGACAAGTACAAACTATATGTGCTATTGCCCTACACCAACCCTACCCCTAAACTTACCCCTTACAGGAAACTTTGTGCATTTTTACTTTCTCAAAAAAACTAATTCTGTATGATTTATAAGCTTGTTTCCTCATGGGGACCTCAAAAATGTCCCCACAAGGTCAAAATTTACTAGTATTACTATCCTTGTGGGGACATTTGGTCCCCATAACGTGATAAATACCAGGTACACACACACACACACACACAAAAACAAGTAGATAGAATAGAAAAAAACAGAAAGCTAGTGTTTGTTTGTTTGTTTGTCTTTTAAATAAAAAAAAGAAGATAAATATAGATAAAGTAGAATTAAAATAGAATAGAAAGTGCTAGAGTTAGAGGGTCAAATAAATGTATATATATATACTAATACTATATTATACTAATATATTAGGCCATTTTGAGATTATCAGATAAGCTTGATTATTTTATGTCAGAAAATCTCTCAAATAAATTTCTCAACCTGCCATTCATTCCGTTGCAGAATCGGGGAACATGCAAATGAGCAACAGGTATCTCAGTAAATAAAGAAATGTATAATAATTATTATTATTTATAACAGTCATTAGATTTTTAATTTTATTATTCTAATTTATTATTAGTAGTAGTATTATAACAACAGCAATAATACCAGTGATTTGTAAATATTTCACATACTGTGACTGCACCATCCACATATTATGTAGTCTAGTCAGTGAGCTCCACAGGTTCCTGGGAGCTAGTTAAGGATTTGATCCTGTGGGTCGAGTTGGGGGGGTTGGGGGGCGTCATGAGCACGCCCTTTTTCATCAGCCCGGGACAAGTGAGTGAGAGCCACTTCACTGCAGCTCAGTCCCAAGAGCTCCATCTGGCCGGCTTCATGAGGGGCTGGACACACCAGCCGGGACCGTGCGTCACAATGCACCTACAACTTCTCCTCATTATAACTTTATGTGTGCTTCATTGCGATTGTCAAGGTACGGTGCGACTTTTATTATTAACTTGTTTCGTATCATAGCCTATTTGTTTTAGATACGGTCCCTTAGTGCGACTTTTCTAACAATAGACATAACGGGCAAGTAACTTTGCATTATATGACAATTACTCTGGTTTAACTGACCTACGTAATTGGGGAAAAGTGTAATTAGATTCTCACTTTTTTGTGGAAAAATAAACAATCGCTCATCGAATAACGGTGCGAATAACGGCATTGTTATTTATAATGAACGGATTTTCGCTCAAAATAAAATTAGATCGTGAAAATAACACCTATATGTGACAGAACAAGTATTTGTTTAAAAAAAAAATGTTTTAAGTTGAATATCAACAACATTGCTGCTGTGGCGCACAAAGCCTCGCTCAGACAGATTTGCGTGAGGCTCTCGGAGAACTTTTGCATGGGCTTTGGCGTTGCTAGGTAACAGAGACGAGCATGTGACTTGAAGACAATCTCTAGCAGGACCACAAGCTGCTGGTGCAAAGCAAATTCAACACGTTTCTGCGCTCGGGCATGTTTCTAAAAGACTTAACCAGTCTGCGAGGAGGGGCGGTAGAGTTTGAGACGCGCGTTTTGCCGCGTTGCGGTCGGTTAGTGAGTTGACAGCAACAGGTTGCTCTGTGTGGTTGCATGGCTAGAGCTTCTCGAAATGTAATCTGCTTTCTTTTTGCCCAACCCTTAGTATGTAAGCTTCTTATGTGAATCAAGCAACTAATTACTCAGCAGCTGCCGTTCAAGACTACCATTGCTGCTCCTGAATCCCTCTGTTATCCTAGTGAAAATTAGCTGTGGTTGTCTATATTGAGATTAAACAGTCTTGTGTTCATTTGTTTATTGGGAGAATTGGGATGGTTGCGTTAAAAAAAAGCGAATTAAATTAAAATTTACTGACCATTGTGACCTTGAGGCGTCAAAATCACATCTTCTCGCACAGTCTTTTGGGTAAGTAAGTTTGTGTCAGGTTTAAATTTGTGGCTTGATTGATCTCCTCAGAAATGCGAGCCAGGAATGAGTTCCAGTAATCCAGCTTTATTCAGCATGTGTTTTGGAGGAAATGGCCAAAGGGTCTTGATGGAGGGGGGGACAGGTTACTTTCTCTAATCCGCTGAGCTTCACTTCCCGTTGGTTCCTCCGGCTCTCAGTTTCAGACCTGAGGGTCAAAGGTCTTTGAAGGTAGTTACTGGTTACCTTGTTTGGCATGATGCATTTTAATTTAAACTTGGACTTTTTTTGAAAAACCCTGAGTTGGCACAATCTAAACAGTTTTGACACCTCATGTCATGATGTTTATTAACCAACTTGTGAAACCGTCCTTTGTAAATGAATATGAGTGTTACTCATTGCCTGCAAATGTGATGATGCCGCTGATTCATAACTTGTTTTTAAATTATTTTTCACTTCCATTAGTCACGTATTAGCCATCTTTGGATTACAATGATTAAAAGGACACTTTCACTCAGTGTCACATTCACCAGCGGCCTTTTTTTTTTATTATGCGCAGCCATGGGTGCAGACAATACCGTGAAGATCAGCGAACAATGATATCTCATTCAGTAGGCTCAATCAGATGTGGATCAGTGAGGGGCCTCATGATCTGTACCAGGATTTCCATGCACAAAAAAAGAGTGGAAATCAGTTTGATGCTGGACAGAGGACCTTATCTGAACCTGGCTGTCAGCAAGCTTTAAAGTGCATAACTTAAACACTTTTGCATTTCACTGTTTAAAACGGTAAACATCTATTTAAGCTTGTTTCCACCACAGATTAATATATATATATATATATATATATATACATATATATATATAGATAGATAGATAAAGGCAGTAACAACTTCTTATCTTAAAATTCAGACTTTTTTCTCAATTGCGAGTTTATATCTCGCGATTCTTTTTTTCTCAGAATTGTGAGGTTCTGAAATCTGACTTTTTTCTCAGAATTGTGAGTTTACATCTCACAATTCTTTTTCTTCCGTGGAATTATAAAAAAAAAAGGTAATTGTGACTTTTATCTCACCAAATCTATTTTGCAGTTATGAGTTTACATCTCACAATTCCTTGTTTATATCTTGAAATACTGAATTTTATATCTTGTAATTCTGACTTTTTCTCAGAATTGCTAGAAAAAAATTCGGAATCGTGAGATAAAAAGTCCCAGTTATCGATCTTATTTTTTAATCCTGTGGTGGAAACAAACTTCTATAAACAATCCCATTTTAGCAATAATGTCTAACACTTTCAAACTACTTATAGGCCTACATTCTATAAATGTAATCATTTTGCAGTGTACTTCAGATATTTATATCGTCACATAATGTAAACTATATTATTGCCCGACAATATTTAAAGGGTTAGTTCACCCCAAAATGAAAATTCTGTCATTAATTACTCACCCTCATGTTGTTCCAAACCCGTAAGACCTTCGTTCATCTTCGGAACACGAATTAAGATATTTTTGATGAAATGTGAGAGCTCTCAGACCCTGCATAGACAGCAACGCAACTGAAATGTTCCCAGGTCCAGAAATGTAGTAAGGACATCGGTAAAACAGTCCATGTGACATCAGTGGCTCAACTTCAGTTTTGCGAAGCTACGAGAATACTTTTTGTGCGCAAAGAAAACAAAAAAGTAACATAATTTATTAAACAATTATTCTCCCCCGAGTTACGTCTTCCGTCATTTTGGAGAGTACCCAAGAGCGTAATCGATGTAACCAGCGCTGTTTACGTTCGGAGGAGAAAGCGCGCGCATGAACGTAATCTGCGTAAT